TGACGTCTTGTGTGGATTTGTAAATCACTTTTTTGACAAAATGATTTTTCACATCCTGGATATTCACACTTGAAATTTTTTATTTTAAGATGATGTTTTGTGTGTCTTGCTAATTCAATTTTTTTAATAAATGATGAATCACATCCTGGATAATCACATTTGAAATCTCTTATTTGAAAATGACGTCTTATGTGTGCTTGTAATTCACATTTTTGACAAAATGATTTATCACATCCTGGATATTCACATTTGTGATTTTTTATTTTAAGATGATGTTGTGTATGTCTTAGTAATTCACTTTTTTTACAAAATGATGAAGCACATCCTGGATATTCGCATTTATGATCTTTTAATCCAAGATGACGCTTCGTATGATCTTGTAATTCAACATTTCGAAAAAATGATCTTCCGCATCCTGGATATTCACACTTGTGATTTTTTAATCCAAGATGACGCTTCTCGTGTACTCGTAGATCTTGTTTTTGAGAAAATATTTGTCCACATTCTGGATATTCGCACTTGTGATTTCCCACCACAAGATGACAACGATTTGTATGACTCAGTAAGCCACCTTTTATAGAAAATGCTTTTGCACATCCTGGGTATTCACACTTAAAATTTTTTATTCCAAGATGATAATGTTTTATATGTTGTTGTAAAACGTTATTAAAATAAAATGCTTTGTCGCATCCTGAATATTCACATATGAAACCTTTTTCACCATGAACTTTGCTGTGTCGGTTAAATGTTTTTATAGACTTGTATGATCTATCACAATTTGGAACTGTGCAAAAAAATTTATTTTTACTTTGATCGCTGTTATCATCTTCATCTTTATTACCCTTATCGTCATCCTCACAACTGGTTTCAATTTTATCAGTATCATCTTCATCACTACCAACATCAATATCGTGATCTTTATCACCATCATCACTAATTTCACCAATTTTACTATCATTATTATAATCATTTTCATTTTCATTTTCATCTTCATCTTCATCCTCATCCTCATCTTCATCTTCATCCTCATCGACGCTGTTAATATTGTAACGAATGTCTAGCATTTTTTCGATTTTATCGTCATTATCTTTTAAAAATAAATAAATAAATAAATAAATAAATAATGTGAATGAATGTTAATTTTATCTTTTTTAAAAGGTACAGTACCTTTTGGAGAGCTTTGGGTATCTTTAATTGGAATTTTTTTCATTGCTTTTTTAAAAAAAAAAAAAAAAACAAACAAACACGAGTATATACATGATTTATATGGAGCGCGTTGAGAGAATATCATTTATTTCGTGTTACATTAGAGATTCAAATGAACTGGTATCCTGGAACAAAACCCCAATTATATTTATCATTCTGGGCCCATTTTAAAAGCCACGGGAATAAATTTTTGTCAGAACACCTAGTTTCTTATTATCTTTAAAATATGCGTTAAAAAAAAAGTTTGATAGCGTTGCCTTTTACTTTTATATATTACGTGTAACCCTTGTTAATGAGGTAAATTTGACCAAAATTTTATCTTGTTACATGGCTTTATCTCAAATTCTAATTGATATATTTATAAGATTTTGGTGTCAAAAGATTTCCTTTCTTAAAAGAAGCATATTTTACTAATTGTTGGATGGCATTAACTTTGATGAACACGTGGTTAGGTATTGTATAAAGTTCCACAACATAGTAGAATACCCACCAGTTCATTTGAATTGTGCAGTGGGTCTTGTTACAATGACAAAACATTTGCATTTATCCAAGTGGTTAATTTTTATAACCGGGATTCTTTAAGTCGTTTAATCAACAACTGGTGAGGACCTTATCAATTTATTAAAATAATCAAGAATTTAATACTTTATTTCAGCGCTATATATATATGAGTTTGTGAATTTATATATATGTATATATAATAATTTATTGGGGTATTTGATATCAGTTGATTAACAAATTAATTAGTTTTGATTTTCCTTAGAATGTTGCACACCTTAATAATTGTATTGTATTTTTTTTTAATTAGCTGCTGAAGCACATCTTGTTGAATTGTTTGAAAATGCGTATGTTGATTTGATACTTTTCAATCTGTAAAAAATAATGATTTCATTAGTAATATTATTATTAATAAAAAACTTCTTCCTCCATTATTATCAGGAATTTATGCACTAACCATGCTAAATGAGTAACATTGACGAGAGAGGAACTTGAATTAGCTTTGAATATTTCTGGAAGCCATATTAATATATAATAATAGTGATAAGATTGAATTTTATTTTTTTTTATGTTTTACAACTATTTTGTTAAGAAAGTCTTAAAATATAATGATCTAAACTCCTTTCTTAACTAGTTACAAAATATAAAAGAGTTATTGGTTTATTAAATTAATTAAAAAATAGGATTAATTTTAAAAGAATATCTGATAATTTCATTCAATATTTACTAATAGGCCTTTAGACTATATGAGATTCTGATATTTACTGATACCTCATTACCCAATTTGGCATCATTTTGACCAGTAAAAAGAGAACCAATAGATTACATATAAACAAAGAAAAATGGGACCTTAAATTAGCACAAAAGAATTTTAAATCATGCACAAACATAACAGCTTGATAGCTTGATTGACATAATGGTGCAGTCTTGCAATTTTTTTATTGTATATTTTAAATATAATTAATCATGATTTAGCTATTTAATCATTTCCTTGCATGTGAATGCCTTCATACACCAAATATTCATGATGTTCATGATGATTATTCAATACATCTGATGTTATAATTGACATAACAAACAATTGCATTACCCAGTAGTAATAATACCAAGGCCATGCAAAAATGAAACTTTAATAATGCATGTCTACCCAGATCTCTGGGGTTCACAAAATAAATTACTTTTCCTGATTATCAATTATGGTTCCTTATGAATAATAAATCTGATGTTGATTGCATGTGTCAGATTTAATTAAAACTTTCCTGTCACAAACATGCAATAACCATGCTTTCACATGCCCTATAACTGTGGAATTTTCTCCACAGGTTGTGCCGCACACATGTTAGAAGGCTTTGGACAAAACATACTTATCTTCTCCTCAGACCAGGCTTGGCTGTCACCATATGGGCATTGATTACTGATAGCTGGAATTTGTGTGATGATTGCTGCATGTTATTGCCACACTAGCATAAAAGTTGGCACCTGCAACTGGTTGAAAATTCTGCAACTCAGAAGGTTGCAACCTGGGTTGCTGTTTTGGATTTTCCCTGAATTTACAGTTTTGAGTCCTGGGTTGCTGTAATTTTTATGAAAAGAAAAGTATTAATATTTAACAATTAATTATTTAAATGTTTATTTTGTTGAAAAAAATATACATTGATAGTGTACATTTTCTGTGCTTAACATCCATGTGACCTGAGTCTGGACAAAAGATCCCTTTCTATGAATTTGGCTGGTATATCTCAAAGGCATCCCCTGTCTTGTCAGTGGCATGCCTACTCACCAACAACCCTACCCCCATTCGAAAAACAAATTTGATTGGTCAAATAAAAATTAAAGAGATGAGAAAATTTGGGGAAATGATTAATTTATAACATACCATACAAAATCCGAACCATTTTATTTTACAGCTTTCTCCTTGATGCCAGTGATCATGGTGACTATCACAATAGAAGTGGGCAGAATCAAACTGCCATCTTTACACTTGTAAGATACATGCTCTCATTGAGCTACACTCCTTTAACCTAGAGTGGAAGGTTATATGGGAAAAAGTTCCCATTTAAAAAAACAACAAATACAGTTGGTCAACAAAAATTAAAGAGAAACAGAAAATTTATGAAAATGATTATACAAAACAAACACTATTTTACAACTTTCCTCTTAACATCAGAGCCCAATGCAATTTCAGGGCCATCAACCCTGCTCTGGATTGTGACTTCCTGTGCTTGAAACAAGTTGCAGATTCTCTTTGCTTTGATGGATCTGGATATTTACATGGCACTACAATTCATCAGCAGAGTTGTGACTTGGTCACAGAGCCATCCTTACCCCAGAGGTGGGATCATTGCAGGCAACTTTTCAGCCAGCATGCCAGCAGCCATCTCTGGTCTGGTGCTGTGAGGGAAGATTAATGAAAAGCGTCATTGACGATTGATGCAGTTTTAATAAATTCCAGGGCCATGTGGCCCCCTCCTGGAATTTGGTAGCATTGTTGTATCATCGGGGGAATCTTGGTCAGATTAGCCTTTGTACATGAGGAATGTGTGAGAATGACTGTAAGTATGTTCAAGGTAGCATGCGTCTCTAAATTTCTGATAATCAAATGTTGCATTTCAAAATGTTTCTTTTTCAACAGTCAATGCTCCCTTGACATCTTGTAATTATATATTAATAATAGTATTATTATTATGATTACACAAAGCAAAATATTATCAATGAAAATCTTGTAATTACCCAGCAATGATCTGCTCCACATTTTGATTTCCAATTAAAATATTTATAAACTAAAATAAAAATATCAATCAATACAAATAAAAAAAAGTACCTCTGGTTAGTTATTAACATGTATTCCCAAACCAAACCAAACCAAACAACAACACTCATGTTTTATCACCTTGGACACTGTCAAAAAAAAACCAATAGGATAAATAATTAATGTGTACATGTTGATCAAATAACAAACTTCTTTTCTTTAAACATGCCTCGAAATAAAAGAAGTAAACAAGATGAATGTGAAGAATTTCCTGAGTAAGTTTTTAAGGATGGTGGTGGTTATCGCCCGCCACTCATCATTACTCTAGTTTTTTTTTAAAAAAAAGATTATTTATTTCAAAAACTAGCAGAAATGATTTTTTTTTTTTTTTGATATTACATAAATTCCAATGCTCAAACTTTATAATACTATAATACTAACATACTATTTTTTTTTTCACTTTAAAACATGTAATACAGAACAATTCAAAGAAAAAATCTTGATGCAAACAAGTAAGTATTATCAGGGCATGTTCAAAAGGACTAGAATGACAAATCATAGTCCAATCACCATTACCACTGTTTTTTTTTATAGCTTGTAATGAGAGACTTGTAAAATGATCATGATCATCATTATATTTTCTTTGACTGATTTTTAATTTTTTTATATGTACATAGTAATAGTGAGGATGAATCATTTACTGAAAAAAGAAAAAGATTGTTATCTTCATTGTCATTGTCACCATCATCATCACAATCTTTTGGTTTAGATCTTTTTAAAGAAGCTGAAGGCAATGAAAATAACAATGATAGGGAAAGAGTTTTTATAAACTATCAAAATATTAATGTAAGTTCAATTAATGAATACTTTTTTAATTTAATTATAATTTTGGTTTAGAATAAACCAAGTCAATGGGTCATATGGAATAGTAGTAAAACTTGGAAATAGATATAGTTAGATCCATTGGCATGGCTATACATGAAGTCGAAACTATTTTGACCAGTTGCAGATCTGGTCAAAATAGGGTCGAAATAAGGTCGAAACTGATTTTTACTATGTAGTTGCCTCAAGTCGAAACATTTCGACTTTGGGGTTTTAATTTCGACTTCATGTATAGGCATGGCTATAAAACTTGAATCAATTTTAAAAGCTAATTATGATGATCCAATACTATCATTTATCTTCGATATTGTGAGATTGTAAACGGGGACTGAAGAAGTCCCAAGTATATATGATGATCAATCGGAACCAACTTACTGTGTTAGTCACGTGATAATAGCATCATTTTCTATTTTATCTTAAGATTTTGTATAACTACTGCGCCATACATCAGGGGTGTTCAAAGTTGTTCCGTTCCTGTTTCCTGTTCCTTGTTACATAGTCAAAATTAAATTTTATTGGCTGATCAGAAGGAACAGAGAAACAACAAATTTGTTGTTTCTTCTTGTTTCCACTTCCAAATTTGGAAACAATTTTTAAAAAAAAAAATAAAAAATAAAAAATAATAAATAAAAATAAAAAAATAAAAACAAGAAAATGAGAAAATCATAAAATAGCCTCTACTAATAATGTACAACAGCCTCGTCCAGTTCAAAGAGTAGCTTCTACTAATGACATGCAACAACAACAAAGCATTTATCCGGTTCAGTAACTTCTACTAATAATAATGATGTGTAACAACAAAACTTTCATCAAATTCATCCAATTCAGTTATTTCTTGGAATAGATTTAGAAACAATGCCTCTTCAATTCTTTCACAAGTTGACATATTTTTAAAAAAAATGCGTGTAGTTCAAGAAGTTATGGAAACAACTAGGAAATTTCTGCTCAAAGTTGATCCTTATTTCCATTACCTAATAAGGTATTGTACAACAAGGAACAGGAACAGGAACGGAACAACTTTGAACACCCCTAGTGTACGCGTTTTGTCGATCAAATAACAAATTCTTTATAAAAAAAAAATAAAAAAAAATGCCAAATCAGAATGACAACAAAAAAAGAAAACAACTAGAAGAATGGTGGTTATCGCCACCACTCATCACTCTAGTTTATTTAAGAATGGTGATGATGGTTGTTTGCAACTTCTTTATAAATAACAATATAAATTTAACTTTTTTTTTATTGATTCCTAATTTGTTTAGAGTTGTTCATGATAAGGTAAGCAATAAACTATATTCTCTTTGATCAGTAAAACTGATTGTCTTAATACTAATCCAATTCCCAATTTGTAGGAAAATTTATCACCCTACTCATCAGATAATGATGACGGTAAGGAGAATATATATTAATATGACAAAATACCTCTTAATCAATATATTTATAAATATTTATATTTAAATGTAAAGAAACCAATCTTGATATCATTAATAATGATAACATTGTATCAGAGCAAGTAAGCATCATGACAACACTCATATCTGACTACGTTCAATAACATTAACTCATTGATTTGATTACAGTTATCCATGACAATATTGAAATCCAAATTATATCTTGAAAAAATATGGGTTGAAGTCATAAATCATTTAAAAAAAGCAAAAATCCAAGTCCAGTAAGAATTCTTACATTTTGTTTTTCCATGGTTGTTTAAATTATCATGAATTGTATACTCTATTATAGATCTATTGAGGCTCAAATAATTGACCTCTCAGGTTGGGCCACAATTGATTGGAATACAATACTATATTGTCCTGATAGATATCAGTTAATAAAAAACAAAACCCCATTTATTAAGAGATAAAATTCCTGACAATATTCTCACTTTTACCAGCCCTATAAAAAATAACATACGGTAAAACAGTACATGAACCATACATTTTTCTGTACCTATTCCGTAAAACAATATGGTTCATGTACTGTTTTACTGTACAAATTCTGTACATTTTCCATACACTTTCCGTACCAAATTTTTTATAGGGCAGAAACCCGCCAAACAAACTAGTAAGCCATTTCTATAAATAAAAATTACTATCAAATGCTATTCATCAATTCTTTTTTTATAATAATTTAATCTAGCGATCTGTTGAAGGTCTAAACGAGTGGAAGTCAAAATTTTTAAATATAGAAAATGAAGATGCAAAGCTTGCAATTAAATTAATTTCATTTTAGTAAGTATATAATAATAATATTGTATTTAGTTAGGTTTGCAGCACTGAAGTAACTAATTATTTTGTCAAAGTCAAAAGGCACTTAATAAATTAGTCAATCTTTTTCAAACGTCAACAAGGGAAAGAGATATTTTAATTAACATTGTTGCACCATTGCTGAGTAAAACATTAAATCAATTCAATATATGTGAATTCTCGTTGTACTGGTATGTTGCATGCATACCCTCAACTAGTTTTCAGGGAAATGAAATAACGTTCATTTTGATTTATTAGGATTGAAAAAGAATGTGTGGCAGTCACAAGCAGGAAATGAAAATACATAAACACAGACTATACAAACTTAACAAACGATTATCAAAAATTTGATTGTATTGCTGAAATAAGGAATTTTGGGCTCGAACTACTGTTGCTTGAGGCTGGTGATGACAAGACTGACATTTATGGTAGAAAATATCACAATGACCACTCACAATTAAAAATAGCATTAAAGGATTGCTTAGATATGTTTATGGAATGGTTACATCTGTCTACAGCAGAAATATCTGAAATTTGCACACTTGGATTGCAAATTATTGGTAATCGAACAAAAATCTTTATTGAAATCATTGATGGCAAAAAAAATTTTTTTTTCTAATGCCAATTTTATTGTTTTAATAGATACAAAATGGATCATCTATTCAATGACCTATGATCCTTTATCCAAATACTATTTTTTTCACCAACTATGTTCTTTTCACTTTCCGACATCATTCTCTGATTTGGAATTTTTTCTGCCATATCTTATAGAAAATTTATTGTCACTTCGGGTATGTATCTAATGAAAGTGTAAAATATGGTGTTGGTAATTGTTTTCTATTGTTTAACTTAATTGGTTGTACATCATTAGCACACTATGTTAAATATGGTGAACAAAACCAAAGAAGTTACGATTGCTGCAAGAACAACTACGCCATCACCTCAATCATCACCGTTACATGAGACACCTGAAACTCCTCCACAAATAAAATGAACAAAAGAGAATCCTTTCAAAGAAATTTTTCAAGGGATATACTGATCTTACATAATTGTAAAATTCACAAGTAAATCGGAACAGAAATATCAATAATAATATATATTATATACAATAATTGTTTAATCATAAAGATTTTTAACTCCTAGTAACATTAGCACTATTGTTCATACATTTATTAAAAATAATAACTTGCTTTAAAAGCATCATATATGTTAGGATCATTGCTATAGATTAAGTATTAGTTATGTTATTTATTATTACCGTTGTTTAATAGTATTGTATTTAATTATCAAAGATGTACCAAGCTTGGCAAAAAATAAATATTACAATTACCATATTATGTACTCAGTGTTGACAATTTAACCAGTTCAAATCTTTTTTTGAACCTTTTGAACTTTTGAATGTTAATCGGTTAAATAACCGGATACAGTCAAACCTCATTTCAATGGAATTAGGTGGCCAGTCTCCATAGATCCGTTGGAAACGAGAGAATGATCGATGGAAAATTTTACTTATTATTATATGTTTATATAAAATAAAATAAAAAAGTCCGTTTCAATAAACATGATTCGCGTTTTTGTTCTGTCATAATATATGTACATTTTTTAAATAGAGAAAAAGATGGTGTTGTGATATTTTATAAATTGGAGGTTCAAAGAATTTATTGATCTAAAAAAATATTAATTGTGTAGAATTAAAAGGTATTTATTTATTATCAATTTTAAAAAATTCAATAAAGAAAATCTGCCTTTATTTATACATTTAGAAGAGACTTGTTAAAACAATAGTAAGATTATTTTTTGTTATAAATAATTTTATTTGGGGAATTATTTGCATAAAATTATTAGAAATATGGAAAATCTTGACCTATAAAAAATTTTGCACTGAAACACGAAATTTTTACTAAAAATATACGGAAACACCGAAAATAAAACACACTGTATGTTTTCAGTATGTTTTGAGTATTTTCAGCGTGCTTCATTCACAGAAAATCGTTTTTTCACAGAAATATAAAAGAAACCACGGGATATATTCACAAATTTCATCTTAAAAATTAATTGAAGATTGAGAATTGTTTTGATTGAGATGATAGTGCTGTAATCCTTGGGTTCCATGATAGATCTGATATAAATTAATTTCATATTAATTATTTTTATATAGAAGCAATTCTATATACCACTTAATATTAAGAAAAATCAAAGACAACAGATGGGAGATTATAAAATTGTTAAATCACAATAATAATAATAATAATAATCACGTTACTAAATTTTGATCCCTGTAATCCCATAGTGACACAATGTTCACTTTGTCTGGTTTTGTTGCAGTATGCCCCATATATATTTTTTTCAACTTTACTAGTCACTCCAATATACATATATAAATTTTTTTTCAAAATAAATAATAATGACCACTAAATCCAATAAAAGAGCTATAAAACCAAAAAGTACTTCTCAACAAATGGAAATTGATGATGATAATATCAATAATAATAAAAAAGTTATAATCACTACTGAAGAAGACGAAGAGGGTGAGGAGGAAGAAGGAGAGGAGGAAGAGGAAGGAGGAGAGGAGGAAGAGGAAGGAGGAGAAGATGGAGAGACTGTTGATGATGATGCTTATAGTGAAATATTAGATTTTGTAATTAATTATTTTTAAAGTAAAACCCCATTTTTTGGTTTTTTTTACTTTACAATATTATTAATTTTTTTAAAAAAAAAGAAATTCAATAAAGATGATGATCCAACAAGTTTAACATTTAACATATCAGAAGAAGATCATACATTGGGAAATGCTTTACGTTATGTAATAATGCAAAAGTAATAATTATGATGATGATGATGATGATGAAATTTTTATTTTTATTTTTATTAATTGACTTGATTTTTTTTTTTTTCAAAAAAAAAAAAGCCCAGAAGTAGAATATTGTGGATATTCTATACCACATCCATCAGAAGATAAACTTAATTTACGTGTACAAACTACCAGTAATTAATTTCTTTATTATGTTAAAAACTTTCATAATATATTAATTTTGTATTTACAAGTATTTTATTTTATTTTCATAGACAATATAACAGCAATAGATGCAATGCATAAAGGTTTAGAAGATTTGAGAAATATATGTGGTCACATAACAGATTTGTTTGTTGAATCAAATAAATCTTATGATAACAATGAAAATTAGGAAATTAACAATTATATAAAAGTTTCTTTTTCTTTTTTTTATGTAGATTTTAACCTTTTAAATCTTTGTTGAAAAAGAAGATATTTTTTTGAATTGAATGCAGCATGATTTGTTGGTATATGAGAGAAAGTTGACAAATATAAGATAATGCTTTTCTAGGATCATATTATTATTATATTAAATGTTTTAAGAAATAAGTAGTAGATGATGATGCCTCTTTTTAGCACCATAATCATTAGCAATTTTTAGATTCTGAACATGACCAAGTACTAAATTCAATAATATCATAGTACAAACCACATGAATATTTTTATATAATCCAGATTAATGTCTATGATGCGAACAATTCTAGTTGGATGTAGAGCTCATGCTAGATATAATGTCAAAAACCCATTACCAGTTCCACTTTTTAAAATTTTTGAATATGGATGTAAATCAAGTAAACCTATCAATATGCAAATATATATGTATATTTATTATCACTATCTGATTGATTATTGATAGATTAAATTAAATTATGTAATATTACAATTGTGCTGGAATCCTTGGATGAATTGGAGTTGTATGTCTTCATACATTAGAAAATAACTTGAGAGAGTGTGTGTGCGTGTGTGTGTGTATGAGAAAATAAAATAATTATTTTAAATAAACAAAATCAAAGTTGGAAAATGAATTTATCTAAAAAACCCCATCAAAAATTCAATAGTGGATTTCTAATAACAGAATCATTCCTTTATGTGTATCATGTTTTCCATTTTTACTCAAAGGATTGAATAAAGTTGTTCTTGGTGTTTGATTATTTTTTGGTAAGGATAATGAAGACTAATCACATAATTAAGGTTGCTTGCCGAAATTCCTCCAGAAATCAATCAGCAGGGTTTCGGCAGGTTACACATTAATTGTTTATTAGAGTTTTGGCAGAGTTTCACATTTTGAGGTTTCGCCATTTCGGCATAGTTTCAACAGGATTTTTGATAAGATTTAATATAGTTTTGCCATTGTTTCAGTAATTACTAAGTAGGTTTCACCCACAACCTTACACATAATACTATCATACCTCCTTTTATAAATTTAGATCTATCTAATTTAGAGGAAGGGGGTAAGGCTCTGAACAAATCAATGAAATTTGAACTGATTTGAATTTGAATCAAATTGAATCAAATTGAATCACTTAATTTTTGATTCGTTTCATTCAAATTGAATTCGCATCAAATCCAAATTGTACTTTGATTTGATTCAACTTGATTTGAACTGATTTGAATATATAATTTGATTTGAACTAATTTGATTTACTTGATTTGATTCAAACTGATTGATTTGAATCTATAATAATAACAACTGATTTGAATCCATAACATCCAGAAAATATAAAAAAATTTTACACATGTCAATTGTAAGTTTAATAATAAAAAAGTGTAAAACTTACATCAGCACTGTAAGATTTACACAATATTACGTCGGCATCGTAAGATTTATGCAAGTTTATGCTAAATTAATTTCCTGATGATTATAACAGGCAGCAAATTTTGAAAATTATATATGAAATATTACAAAAATAGTAAGGTTTTAAAACCCTTATAACATTTGCTAGTATAGATGCTGGTCGCAATTCTTGGTGATGGTTGCAACCATATTTGCAACATATAAAAATGGTTTGTGACACCTGGTTGCAACCACTTTGCAACCACTTTGGTTTCCTTTTTTGGATTGCGACATGGAACACTATTTGCTAGTAAGCTTAAATAAAAAATCTGGCTGCAACAAATTATTCCCAGACTTCTAAAAATGATCATCCCTGAGGAGCATATACCATTTTGATAAGCCAATAATATTTGATGGCTTTTACTGTCATCCACTGTACTTTAAACAATTATGAACTTATGTTGTACAACATAAATTAAATTTATCACAGCGATCATCAAATAGTGACATAAATAGAATCTCCGGAACATTGCAGATCAAGTGTCACTTCAATATAAACATTACACAAATAAAATTATTACCACTTCAAAAAAAAATCTCAGTTTTTCATATAGCAAGCAATTTTCAACAATAATAAAATTTTTAGAGCCAGACTGGGACTTTTAACAACAGTTAAAAGAAAAGGCTAGCTTAAATATTTGTTATTCTATGCCAGGTCATAAGTGTTTCTTTTCTTCACACTTATTTTAAGATTATTGCTCAACTAGTATGCAGACTAAAGCAGCAGTTGTACCAAAGTGTTCCCTAGAAAGTCACTTATAACTACATGGAAGGTTGTGTT